TTTCGGCGCCCCTTTGGTGTTCGGCGCCCTTTTTGGTTTTCGGCGCCCCCTTGGTTTTCGGTGCCCCGTGGGTTTTCAACGCTGCGTTGGTTTTCGGCACCCCTGTGGTTCTCGGCGCCCCTTTGGATTTCGGCGCTCCTTGGTTTTCGGCGCCCTTTGATTTTCGGAGCCCTTTTGGTTTTCGGGTCCTCCTGCGTTTTCGGCGTTCCTTTGGTTTTCGACGCCGTGTGGGTTTTCGGCGCTGCGTTGGTTTTCGGCGTCCTTCTGGTTTTCGGAGCTCCCTGCATCTTCGGTTATCATTTGGCTTTTGGCGCCTCCTGGTTTTCGGCACCCTTTTGGTTGTCGACGTCCTTTTGGTTTTCGGCGTCCTTTTGGTTTTCGGCGTTCCTTTGTTTTCGGCGCTGCGTTGGTTTTCGGCGCGTTTTTGGTTTTCCGCGCCCTGTTGGCCGTCGGCGCCGTCTAGGTTTTGGCGGCACCCCTTAGGTTGTCGGTGCTTCCTGTTGTTTTCGACGCCCTTTTGGTTTTCGGTGCCCTTTTGGTTTTTTGCGGTGCCCTTTGGTGTTCGGCGCATCGTTGGTTTTCGGCGTTCTTTTTTTTTTTGGGGGGGGGGGCGGTCGGCGTTTATTTTTTGTTCGGAGCCTTGTTGGTTTTCTGCGCTCCTTCTGTTTTGGGCGCCCCTTTGGTGTTCGGCGCTTTTTTGGCTTTCAGCGTGCTTTTGGTTTTCTTCTCGGCTTTGGTTTTTGGTGCCCTCTTGGTTTTCGGTGTGCTTTAAGTTTTCGGCGGAGTTTTCGGCGCCCCTGTGGTTTTGCGGCGACGCCCTTTTGATTTTCGGCGCCCCTTTGGTTTTCGGAGCCCGTTTGGTTTTCGGCTCCTTTTCGGTTTTCGGCGCTCGTTTGGTGTTGGGCGCCCCCTGGTTTTCGGTGCTCCGTTGGTTCTCGGTGCCCCTTTGGTCTCCGGCGCCCCTGTGGTGCTCGTGCTGCTTTGGCTTTCGGCGTCCTCTTAATGTGTGGGCTCTCCTTTTGTTGTTCGGCCCCCCCTTTGGGGTGTCGTCGGCCCTTTGGGTTTTCGGCGCATCGTTGGTATCGGAGTCCTTCTGGTTTTCGGCTGTCCATCGGTCTTCGGCACCCCTGTGGTCTCCAGCGCCTGGGGACTTTAGGAGGGGAACATCTGCCAGTGAGCCTCTTCGCCCTCCACGTGAACGTGATGGGCAGACATCTCGGGAGGGATTAGGGTGTTAAGGATGGTATCTTTGTGTAGGTGGCTTGCGTGTGTAAGGGTCAGATTTGCGACTACAAGTATCCTCATCACCATCATCAGCATCATCATCTCGTCTTCATCTTCCTTCTCCTCAGCTCCCCTCACCCCCGCGCAATCAAAATAATAAGACATCTGCACAATCAACAGCAATAAGACATCCATACAATCAAGCACACTCAGAAATCCATGCAGCCAGAAACAATAAGACATCCATAAAATCAAACACAATCAGAAATCCATACAATCAAAAGCAATATGCAATCCGTACAATCAAAGACAACAAGGAAACCATACAATCAAAAACCATAAGAAGTCAATACAGTCGAAAACAATCAGAAATCCACACACTCAAAAACAAACAGAAATCCATGAAATCCAGAACTATAAGAAATCCGTGCAATCAAAAACAGTAAGAAATCAGTACAATCAAAAACAATAAGAAAATGTGTTGGGTCCACGAACCCTGTGAGAGTTCCCAAAAACAAAAAACCACAAACATGATAAAACCTGTGAGGGTTCCCAAGCAATTAAAAATCAATGGTTTTCGGGACTTCGGACTTCCTCCGGGCCCCTCCAGGCCAGATCCGCACAGACAGCTTGAAATCCCGAAAACCATTGATTTTTTTGAGACCTCGCAATTGTTTGGGGGTTTTCTTGGATCCCTCACAGGGCTCGTAGCTCTAAGACGAGGAAGCCTGCGACTGTCATTGCAAAACAAATAGAGCCAAATAAAAATTAATAAGACCTCTCAATGCTTCAAAAAAGCAAAGATTTTCGCGCGAAGGTTCACTCCTCCTCCTCCCTCCTCCTCTTCCTCCACCTCCTTCACGTCTTGCTCCTCCTCCTCCTCTCCTCCTCCTCCTCCTCCTCCTCCCTCCTCTCTCCTCTCTCCTCCTCCTCCCTCCTCCTCCTTCCCCCTCCTCCTCCTCCTCCTCCCCTCCTCTTCTCTCCTCTTCCTCCTCCTCCTCCTCCTCCTCCCTCCTCCTCCTCCTCCTCCTCCTCCTCCTCCTCCTCCTCCTCCTCCTCCTCCTCTCTCCTGTCTAATCAAAGAGAGAGAGAGGAAGAGGAAGAGGAGGAGGAGGAGGAGGAGGAGCAGCAGTACGTGCAGGAGGTGGAGGATGAGGAGGAGGAGGCAGGAGGAGGAGTAGTCCTTCGCGCGAAAATCTTTGGCTTTATTGAACCCTCACTGGTTTCAATTCGTTTTCGAGTGATATGATTTGTTTGTCAATAGCAGTTACATGTTTCCCTGCCTTAGAACTACGAGCCCCATGAGGGCTCCAACAAAAAAACAATCAAACGTGTGAGGGTTCCCAAAAAGCCCCAAATCCATGGTTTTCGGGACTTCAGGCTGCCTTGGCGGATCTGGCCTGGAGGGGCCAGAGGAAGTCCGAAGTCTTGACAACCATTGTTTCTTGATGTTTTTTGGAACCCTCACAGGCGTTATTGTTTTTGTGTTTTTGGAACCCTCACAGGGTTCGTGGGTTCAAGATGTTGTCTTAATGTTTTTTGTTTGTATGGCTTTCTTATTGGTTTCGAGTGTATAGATTTCTTAGTGTTTCTGTTTGTATGTATTTCTAATCGTTTCTGATCGTATGGAATGTGTTTTGTTCCATAGTATGTGTTTTGTTTTGAATGGTCTTTGAGCGTACCGATGTGTTGTTTTCGATTGTCAGGATGTTTATCATTAGTATGTTTGATCGTGCGGTGTTCTGATTGTTTTTGGGTGTATGGTTTCTTTTTTATATGTTTTGAGTGCGCGTATGATGATGATTTTGGTGATGATGAGGAGGAGTGATGACGACGATGAGGATGGGGTGAGGATGTTGATGGTTATGTTGATGATGAGGATGGAGGAAGAGAGAGAGAGAGAGAGAGAGAGGGAAAGGGAGAAAGAAAAGGATTAGGGGGAGGTTGTCTGGAGGACGGGGATCACAAACAACAGGATGGCAACGGTAATGATAGTGGTGATGATGATTATGACCGTAAACATGCCGACGATGTCAGTGATTGTGGTAACACTTGCGTTGGTAATGGCCCGGTGGTGATGATGTTGATGATGCTAATGGTGATGGTGAAGGTGGTGATGATGGTGTGGATGATTGTGGTGACGTCGACGGTGATGGTGATGACGGCAATGCCATTGGCGATAGCGATGATGATGATAACGATGATAGCGATGACGTCGATGACGACGACGACAATGATGACGATGATGATGATGGTGATGATGATGAGGAGGAGAAGAAGGAA